TCCCGAGCCCCAAGTGCGGGTTACTCCGCAGCCCGTGACGCCCGCCTACAATGTACAGCCCCAGGGTCGCCGCATGTCGCACGAGAGCGCGCATTCGGAAGCAGAGCCAGCCGCGGTGTCCAAAGAGTCCAGCACTGTCCTGCAGGTCCCGGCCTCGCCAGCTAAGAGAGCAAGGCCGCAGGAGCCCGACGTCAAGGTCATGCCTCTCCAGTATGAGACGTGCGATGTGAAAGACCTCGGCGTGCTCATCTCTGACATGCTCATGGAGCTGGTGCGCCTGAACGACGGCTATCCGCTGCGGGATGGAACGCTCACAAGATTCCATTCGAGGTGCGTTTATGCAAGACTGACTGAACAAATGCTCGCTGACATTGACCCCTTAGAGCCCCGCCTGGCATCTCAGTACGCGACTACCTTTCTCGTCTTATAGTGCATGCTACGCTGTCTCCGCCCATTCTCCTCTCCATGGTCTTCTACGTAGACAAGCTGTGCGCCATGTACCCCGCTTTTACAATCAGCAGCCTTACCGTGCATCGCTTCCTCATAACTGCCGCTACGGTCGCGGCCAAGGGCCTTAGTGATAGCTTCTGGACCAACAGCCTGTACGCAAGGGTCGGCGGCGTCAGTGTTCGTGAACTGGCGCTATTAGAGCTGGAGTTTCTGCGGAGGCTCGAATGGCGCATTGTTCCAAAGCCAGAGGTACTCGTAGACTACTACAAAGGCCTGGTCGACCGCGGGACTGGATACGTTATAGAGAAAGAGCCGGAATCAGGACCGACTGTCAGCTCAACCCAGATGCCCAATCCCACCGGATCTGCGACAGGCATACACACCAATCAATCAGGCGTATAATAACAGAGGCACACGATGGTTGAGCAGCATCATGCCACAATCCCTAGCCAGCTCACGAAGTTCTTCCAGATGACGTTAGCAGCTCGACTCTTGGGGCTCGTGTCGTTATTATGAGATCGCAGAGACGACGTCATGGGCTGTCTTATCTATTTCCAACACCAAGCCACACCGTGGCCGCCTTTGTGTGGAAGGTTCAGGAGACGACTAGCTGAATTATGATGAGCTGGCGAACCTGACTCGGCAGGGGAGTTATCTATCTCCTAGAGGGTCTCCGCCAACGAGGTGTCTCTTTGAGCTGTCGGAGGCACATCACTACACCATCTCAGGCTCGTGCCATCAACGAGCACCGTCATAGGCAGTTACCCGATGTGCCACCACCACGATTCGTTCGCTGCGGTACAAATGGTAGCTGCCAACAGTGGCCCCCAAAGCGACGGGGCAGCTTGGATTGCAGCAGAACATAGCATTTACGTGATCGCTTGTCTGATAATCGACTGAGCGCAGAACGCATGAGACGGGTGCAGGAGTTTAGCAGCACTTCTACTATTTTGAAAGTATTAGCAGAATCAAATAATCAAACCCCCATCCAAAAGCGTGCTGTTGTCCCGTGAAGAGCGTTCTGACGAGTGCACCACGGTCAAGCCGCTAGGAGCATGCATCGTGAGTAACGTGGACGAGTAAAATGCGGCGACTGGCACATCCCAGTCGTAAGACGCACGGCTGCCGAAAGAGTGAGGCTAACACTCCACCCCTATGGCGTAACTATACATGTCATCAAGCACCTTTGCTGTGACGACGGAGGTTCTTGCAAATGCCACGGCGCAAGGAGAGCCGAAGTATGGTATGCGCAACCTCCGTCAACATTGTCGGCTTAGTGACCCTGACCCAACAGCTGGAATGACCTGAAACCATCTGTCCTTCATTCCCCACCCCCACTACACACTCCACGCGTCTTCCTTTACGAGGTCACATCAGAGAGATCGTGTGCCGGCGCTTACCCCGAGAACCTCGCGATCCAGACGTGATCTTCACTCGGACCCGCGGTAGACGCGTCTTGCTCTCGAGACGGCGGCAGTAGCGCGACTATAGTACTATGAGGGTGAGTGTGTATATGTCACGAGAGCCTATGGACCCAATCGACCGCCTTGTGTTTCTGCTCAGCGTTGACTTCACTTCCCAGTCTTGTCTGAAACCATCGCACGTGCTCACGTTGCCCGTCGATAGTTCCGCCATGCTGCTTCGTCACCTCGCAATCGACAATCCACTGACTTGCACCAGAGTTTCAGGTAACTCTCCAACAAAGAGTGCTATGCGTAAGAGATGAACTCGGAATTCGCTCGCTGGGATGGTAGCAAACACCAGTACGACAGTCAATGGGGCGCGTCTCGCCCCGAGGCACCTCCAGCGCCGTGTGCCCTACCGTATGCCTTCGCCGAGCCTTTCCCACAACTCACGAACGGTTTCCAGCAACTGCAGGTTGGGAAGCATTCGAGAACACGAACAACACCCGTAGTTACTCGCACACACATAACTAGACATGGCTCGGAGCCAAACCCCATGCGACCGTTGTCTAGTGGAGGAGAAGCCCACATGGCCCCTTACCAGAGCCTCTCTCCGCCTCATCGTTCCGCATCGTATTCAAAACCGTCCCCTCTCGAGGACTTGCGCAAGTCAAGACGATGGCCGCCAAAGGGATACAGGTCGGAGGATGCAATGGAGCCTGAACAGGCGGAGGAGCTGATATGTGCTGGAGCGTCATCGTTCAAGGGATACTGCGATGCGATAGCGAACGCACCAGCGGGCTACGATCGCTTCTATGCCGTTATGGAGGCTGAACATCAGAGCCGAACAGATCGTGCAACCTTTCAACAAGAGGCATACCGAGACATTTCGCTCAACATGACGGGTGCATCTGACAGCCAGTTTCCATGGCTTGCTCATGAGTATCCTTGCATGGCGTACGCGTTCGGGAAGAGTGCAGGGACCACAACACTGAACTATTGGGTCAGCAAGTGCGGAAGCAGTAACCCTCCTATGCAATTCGCCAGCGAGGTAAAGCCGCGGAAGATAAAGCTCCTACAAATTTTGGACCGGTTGCAGAACCTAGAGAGTGGCCTAAATGAAGATGTCAGTCAACCGTCGTGCCCGGAGTGCTTTTGGTTCACATGGCCCTAACTTTTGGTTTCGCAGGATCCCGAGGAATTGTACCGCTACCTGTACGGCACGCTCATCGAAGATTCGGAGCAGTTTGACGAGGAACGCCGTCACGTTCGGACTGATCAGCAGATCACAGATCTCATCACAGTGCTAAGCAACCCTAAATGGATAGATTTCTCACACCCAAAGAATCAGGTTGTAGCAAAGTTCTTTGACAGCCCGGATCAGCGCAAGAAACAGGAGTTTTTTCACCAGCTGCTGCTCTCGGTCGAACTTTACCTTCGGATACACTCTAAGCACCATTCAGAGAAATCTAAGCGAAAGCTCATTCTGCAGCTTCCCGCCATCATTACCTGGGACCTGGCAGTGGCCCAACGGTGGCTCGAGAATATGGAAATTTCCAAAACGCGGATATCAAACACCCAGAGCACCTTCAGCTTTGATCTGAGGAGCAAAAGTAGACAAATCGAAGCATTGAGAAAATTTGCGGCGACACTAAAGTGGCCAAACATGGATGAAGTCGAGTATGTCCTGGACGAACAGGACTTGGACGAGAGAGCACTTGAGGACCGGTCCGCAGATGCCATGTCCTGGTTTTCAGGCATCATCCTGCCTGGTCGGACACTGCCTTGGCTCATTATGAACAGCTTGATAGACTGTGATAGGGATACTGGCGACGCTCTCAAGTATCTGACCCATATGCACCCAGCGTCCGGCTTTCAGTATCGAGCAAATACGTACTGGTCATCGCAATCTATCGTTGGCAAGGTACTAGGCGCCGCACGAGGGGTCAAACAGATTGCAGGTTGGATTGGACCATGCATATACACCCCGGACCTCAAACGCACTGAGTGTGTGAAGGTTAGACAACAAGAGTCACCGGATCCTATGTTGTTCTCGGTTGACGTAGAATCCATGGATCAACGCACCAATCCCTTGGGCGCGCCGGACGACAGCTACCCCGTAGACGACTACATAGTTCCTATGCCGGACACGGAAGACGTAACAGATCTAATACGAATGGAGAAGCTTCGCTTTATGCCTGTCAAAGAGCGGCCTGAAGGGACGAGGCACGCTGTCGGTCCTCCGATGGTCTTTGACGCCGCCATCTCATTCGCATGTGGCGGGGAGAGCTGGCCAATGAAGCTACGATATAATGTTGACTTCATCAACGCTTTTCCCTGCCACCAAGGCCCTCACGGTACGCATCTAGCTCTCGATAAACCACCGTTCATACGCTGACCACCATTAGTGCTATTCTACGATTTCAGCTTCAAAGCCATAAAGATTGACGAAGGCCTCGTCGACATTCAAGACTGGGGCAATCAGTCCGGTCGCATACCCCGCCCCACATCCTCTAAATCATCACCTGGCAAGAAAGCCTTGGCGCTCATGAACGAAAAGCAGAAGAGTGCTCACGAACAAGTTACCAATGTGCTCGTTATAGAGGCTCTAGGCGTGAGCGATAACGAAGTTTTTGCAAGAGCGTGGTGTGCTCATCATGGGCATAGTGCTATCGTGGCAAACATCAAGGAGACGTGTATGTCTTGCGCTATTCGTGAGGCATATGCGGCATGTGTGGCTGTCGTCATACTTACGGAAGGGGGTGTGGTGAAGGAGAATGACACTGAGGTTTACGGGTATGCGTAAAGAGTAGGAATCGGACATTGGTTATATGCATTTGCATCTTTCTGGGTCTGCTTTAGCATCCTTTTGTATTGATGGACACGATTTTCTTTTGTCTTGGGTTGGGATGGTGGCACAGGAAGGAGGCTCCAGGACGTGCTTGACGACTGTAACGGTACTCATGGGGCGCTAGTTTATGGTTATGTATCACGTCTGATGAATTGCACGCATTTACGCTTTTTAAAGGAGATGCAGGGCAAGTCCGCATGAGTGACCTCGGGAAGCTGGTGAATGAGCAATCACGTGGCGATAACCCTTATCGCGGCTGCTCTGACGTTGCGCCAACGGAATTGAGCGCGGCTATCTGCACTTCTTCGCTCGCGACCACTCTGTTGAGCATGACTGGCTTTGCAGACTTGGCATACCACCTGACAATTACCTGATTGTCGCAGCCTATATGCTGCATCGGCAGTAGCATAATCTCCTGTTGCGCCTTGCTCCGACGATACTCGCAACTCCCCAATCCGCAGTTTCCCAGTGAAGCTTCCATTGCGCCGCCCGTCATTGCCACACGCTTGTGCGCCCAGTACTGGACCTCTTCGCATGAGGCTGCACGACGACCGTTAATCTGCGCCAACCGGTTGTAGTACACACCCATTACCAATTACCCGCTTACCTTCCGTCTACGCCATGGGCCGGTCAATGATACCTCCGGCGCTCAACGAGCTCTCGAACCCTAGTACACCCGAGGCACAGGTCACAGCACTCCAGAACCTCAAAAACGAGATAGTAGGGCATGAGCAGAGGAAAGAACTAGCAGTGACACATGGCGTTGTGAAACCACTGGCGGGTCTGCTACGGGCAGAAGCTAGGAAGGGTAGGAAGAGGAGGAGGAATGTCACGAATGGACACAGCTCCGGGCTCTTCAACGATTCGAGGAAGGACATGGAAGAATGGACTACCGAGGATGAGTTGAGATTTCAGGCCACGCTCGTCGTCGGCAGCCTTGCGAATGGTGAGTGCCCAGTGTAAAGGACGCTTTGAAGGAGCATATTGGCTGATACATGAGACACACAGGCGGTCCAGCATTTGTCGCCCCACTTCTAGCAGGTCATGTCCTCCCTCCACTGCTCGAAGCGCTGAGGCCCAGCGAGACGCCCTCGAAACTCGTTACCACGACCCTCAAGACCCTCAATCAGATCATTGACGCCGTCAACCAGGAGAAACCTTGGCTCGACACGTCCGACTCATCCTCCCGGTCATCTCTCGCTTTTGCCGTTAACGAGTCGATATACACCAGGTCTGTCATTGACAGCCTCGCCGAGATATTGGCGCAACCAGCTGGGACGATGAAGGCCAATCAGCAGATTGAGGCGACGATCCGGCTCATCATGAAGACGTGCATAGAAGACAACCAGAAGAAGATGCTAGTGGATTCAGGAATACTGGATCTTTTGGCTGACAAGCTTGCTACTGTCGCTGCCATGGACGATCGGATCCCCGCAACAGAGTGGAAGCAGTCGAATCGCGAGCGGCTTCCCCGTGCCTGTCTGCCAGATATTCTGGAGGCAATCTCGGCTGTCATCAAGGACTCACACTTTTACACTGCTCGGTTTCTCTACTCACACTCAATACAGCAACTCTTCGGATGGCCGAAGGAACGCGCCTCAGCGTTAGACGCAAGTAATACATCACAGGCGGCATCCTGGGACAAATTAATTCCGCGGGTACAGACAATGGCGAGCAAATCAGATCCGTACATCAAACAATGGCCGGCTCTTGGTGCCTACGCCTCTGCCGCTGGGGACAGTTATTCTCGTCTGCCAAGTATGGAGTCGTTACAGCAGACTTCAAGTAGAAGTGTCATCACTGACGAATCTGAGTCGCCGTTGTTCATATGGCTCATGTACGTGGCCCGTCGAGGCGAAGGACGAGAGCGTCTTTCTGCTTGTTGGTTACTAGCGTTGTTGAAGAAATTTGGCGAGCGATGGCCTTTGAACGACCCTTCGAAGACCACAAGGGAAAGGCACTTCTCGTATCTGATTATCCCGTTGGTGGAAAAGATGATTGAAGACTCAAGTCCGACATCGGAGCAGACCAAGAAGGCGAGTACACTTAGTCCTGCGGCAAAAGACGAGTTGCGCTTTGTGTTGGAACGCTCACCAGTTGTGCTTGCTGAGCTTGTTGCTGGGAACAAGTCTCTTCAGACAGCGGCTGTCCATACCCGGACCCTACCGACGCTCATTCAGATTCTCAAGAAGTCGTTCGATGTGCCTGCTACGTCTTCGAAGCCCTTATGGCAACCACGGTCATCATCTAACGAAGTTAGAGATCCAAGTATTGACCCTGCGTCATCGACACTAGGTAGATCCGGACTAAGTGCGGATTTGTTGCATGCTTTCAGATATCGAGAGAGCGTTCTCCTGGCCTTGGCGGCAATAGCAGGAGATCAAGATTCTTTAAGGAAGATGGTCATTGAGATGGGCGCTGCAACGCACATCATCGAAGCTCTGGTCCCGTACCGAGAAACCAATGAGCAAGGGGCATCCTCTTCAGCAAAGGATGGCAACCCTGATGCGGTACTAATTGCTGCTTGCAAAGTTACACGGTCGCTTTCAAGGTCTGTCAGTGTACTCAGAACCAGCTTGATCGATCACGGTGTTGCACAGCCAATTTTCGAGCTCTTGACGCATCCGAACGTCAAAGTGCAGATTGCTGCTACCGAGGTCATAACAAATTTGGTACTGGATGTGTCTCCCATGCGAACTGTAGGTAGAATGTTGATCGTTTTGTGTTCTCAAGCTAATGTGAATATTAGGAGATTCTTGAATCTGGAGTATTGGGAACTCTGTGCGAGCAATGTCGATCAGCAAACTTTGACCTTCGTTTCGGCAGCCTTTGGGCACTTAAGCACTTGTGTCTGGGTCTGCCACATGCTATGAAGATACAGTGTCTCGAAGAGCTCGGTGTAGGCTGGCTCGTGCAGGTACTCAACGGGGAGCCATCCAAGCCTGCTATGGGAACACCCAATGCAGCTGGGGAACAGGTCGATATTCTCAACGCTGTCGACGAGCCTCACATGGATGTGGATGACGAGCCATCATCGGAAAATGATGATGACGATGCCATGACTGAGAGCATACCGTCTATGCGACGACATCAACGTCCTGGATCTCGATACACGAGTGCAACGAACATCCGAGATCGATTACAGCAAATTAAGAATGATGAACAGGATCATCGGCTGAACAGTGAGCGCGATGACATACGCATACAAGAGCAAGCGCTCGACTTCATTCGGAACTTCGTCTCCGAAGACAAAGCCTCTGGTGAAATGATTGATCACCTCCTCAAGACGTTTGGCCACAGCCGGTTCTTTGAAATTCTCGATGCTAAGATCCGGCCGAAACACTCTTCCTTGTCCACATCATCGTCCCAGAGTCAAACCAGTCCTAGTGCTCCCAGTTACTGGCCAAGCAACAGCCACCGTACACCCTTTTCTTCTTCCACGAACAACCCAGGGCAATCGAACTGGGCTACATATCCTGCCACCGAACTCATTCTTGCTGCCGTATATATACTCGTACACCTCGCCAATGGCCGACCTCAACACCGCTCCCTCCTTATTTCACAGACCACACTCATGCAACATGTTCTTCCTCTTTTCGCGCATCCTCGTCGCGATGTTCGCGTAGCTTGCTCGTGGATGTTGCATAATCTTGTTTGGGTAGAAGACCACACCGACGAAGCTGCGACGCGCGAACGGGCTATCAGTCTCCGCCAACTAGGTTTCGAGGAAGGTGCCAAGCAGCTGGGACGTGACGTCGACACTGATGTCAAACAACGTGCTATTGTAAGTATTGAGCAATTTGACAAGCTGCTCAACGGTGGCAGTGGTCATGGACGAGGTGGTGGCTTCGGCAGCCCTAGCGGATTCGGTGGTGGAGAGGGCGGGGTTGGTGGACTTGCAGGTATGGGTGGGCGCTTGTCAGCGATGCATGGCTGGAGACACGATTCTAGGGGTTGATTGTTTGGTAAGAGTGTAATAAGTGGGGAGTATATGGGGGCTAATTCTTCGGGTGCATTTTGGGCGTATGTTCTTTCAGCTTTAGCCTATGTGTTAGTTGTATGATTGGGATCGAGGAAACAAGGATATGGCATTGTTTCTAGCAAGCAAAATAACGACTATTCTTATACGTCTACAGTGCCAGATACTCAAGTAAAGGCCAATGTTATGTGTGCACACAGCTCAATCATTGGTCCAGGATGATTGAGGGTGCGAAGTAAGGAACACTCAGATCGCCATGTAATGGCCGACGTGCGAACTGCCTCTCAATCACAGCCCAATCCCAGAAGCTTCGTAATAGGCCCCAGCATTTTCATGGTCAAACTTAGACGGGTTTGGTCGCAGCTTATGTTTGGTCAGATACTAAGGTTTTTGAGGACCATGAGCCTGTTATTCACCCTATCCCTCTTTTTGTTCAAGTCAACATCGATACATCTTTTGAAACCGTAAACACCTTGACATCCACAGCCTTTAGTCTCTTGCATTGGTTTAAGAATGTAACTTTTTAGATTACTTCTATCCAGCGATGTCGCTGTAGTATGCTCATCAAAAGTCATCAGCCATCCCATCATGTGCACCTCCCAAGATACAAATCGAGTGAGCACATTCAAACCTCCACTTAGCCTCTCGCCCTAGCCTTTAGTCTCAGGGTCCCATTGTCCTCTTCTCCGCTATCTTTTTTCAGTTGTGTCTCGATCATCCTCCCAATATTGCCTCCGCCTTGAATGACACCCCCTCTCAACAACTCAGTGATGACACGTCCTTTGACTACCGTCTCTTCAACCACACCCTCAACATTCTCAGGTCCAATTCTACCATACCAGATGCCCGATCCCTTCAGCGCGTTGTCTTCAATACTGGGAGGCAGATAGATGATGACGTTTCCCGCGTATTTGTGCCCTCCAATGTGACTTATCAGGCCTACATCCGCATCTATGCGCCTACGCTTGAACTCAGACCGGAACGAGGATTGCAACAAAGGCCCAAGAATGCCGCATCGCTGATCGCGGCCGCCGTGTCCGCAGATCAATACTGTGGGTTTCGTAATGTTTTCCGCCTCTGGTAGTTCGATTGCTTTCGACTCGTCGCGAAGGAGGTTGGCCTTTTGCTCAGCAGAGAGACCATCGTGCATAGAATGTAGTTTTCGAGCTTTCAGATACGCGGTCGCGAAATTCGAGAAGGCTTCGGGCGTGTGAGGAATATTCGGTATACGTTTGAAACTCGGAAACAGTAAAGCCGTTGTTGCGCCGGTCTTTTCACTCTTCGGTAGCGAAGAAGCAGTGATGAGGACATTGGTAAAAGGCTATGGGGCGAGAGCGTGTCAGTTTTCGACGTAGCAGAAGATGAACTCATCGGGAAACAGACCTACATCAAACCCAGGACCGCCCTTTCCAATTACACCTTTGAGCCCTCTCACAAACTCCCCAGTTTCACCCTCTTCCTGTTCGATGTTGCTAACCCAGTCTTCTTTTCCTGTACAGAAGATGACCTGTTCAGAGTATGCCGCCATGGTATTCAGCAATGGCGTTTTGCGATCAATGTCTAGATCAGGAGGCGCTGTTGCGCATTCACAGGTTGGTGACGGGCATGATGGAATATAGGGTATTGTAGATTGGAATCGCGCACGGGTTGTAGAGAAGGAGCGGAAGGCGTGCGGTATAGCAGCCCGAGGAATTCGAGTGAAAGACATGGTTGCTATGTTACAACGCCAGACGGGGCGACAGGGAAATTGTATGGAAGCTTCGGAAAGTGTTCCGCGATGATGACGCGAGGACAAAAGGTCGGACATAACGGAGTTCGGGGCTCGGAGAAGCGAGCTACGCGTACGAGGCTACCCGTATCGACGGTATGGACAAATCAGAGGTACACCAACCAGTATTCAAGAATGAAAGGCTCAAAACTAATGCGCAAATGTCTTCTATTATCTTATCGACACACATGTCGTTTTTCACACCATACGACACGACCACTTCACTGAGTGGGTCAACCCTTCAATTTAATCTTCAGCATCTTGCCTCGTACGCATCTTTCAGGGTCGCTTATAGAGTACTCTCAAGCGCGAGTACCTGTCCTTGGGTTAGCAAGCAATCAATGTAGATTCAGATAGTAGTCGACTTACGATAGCAGTCCTACTAGGAATGTACACCTGCAAGAAGTTCTTCCTCTCGTTCCACGCAAATGGCGTGGTGAAGAACCTCGTAGTCTCGTCAACGTTGCCGTGCCCACCAAAGGCCTTGTTGTCGGTGCTCAAAACGATGCGGTAGGTACCTTCCTGCTCAACACCAACACGGTAGTCAGTGAAGCTCTCCTGAGGATGGAAGTTAAAGATCCACAGCAGTCCAGCACGCTCAAACACAATGACCTTATCGCCCTCGTGCTTAAGGCTGACGTAGGCCTGAGGCGAGTGGAGCCATCCGTACTTCTCCTCTGTCCACTGCATCTTGCTGTCAAATTCATTGAGGAACCTGTAGCGGAGAAGCTCGTCGTCTGGAAGGTTGAACTGGCGGCGAGCGTAGTGGAAGCTGTTGTTGTTGCCTTCGCGTGGGAAATCGAGCCACTCGGGGTGGCCAAACTCGTTGCCTTCGAAGTTCAGGTAGCCCTCACCTCCCAGGCCGTGCGTGATCAGACGGATCAGCTTATGTAGGGACAAACCTCGGTTGATGACGGGGGTGAGCTCTGAAAGAATCGACATGTTGGTGTACATTTGCGCGTCGCAAAGCCAGAAGAGCAGAGTCTTATCTCCGACCAACGCTTGGTCGTGACTCTCTGCGTACGCAATGGTCTTTTCGCCGTGCCTTCGGTTTGTCAAGGTGAAGACAAGCGCGCCCATGTCCCAGTCAATGTCCTGCTTCTCCTTCAACCACTTGATGTAAAGATCGGGTACAGCCATGGCTAATCTGTAATCGAATCCTATTCCGCCTAATGAGAGTGCCACGCAGAGACCAGGCATACCGGACACGTCTTCGGCGATTGTGATGGAGTCAGGGTAGAGCGTGTGCAGAAGCTCGTTGGCGATCATAAGGTACACAACTGCCTCTTCGTCGACTGAAGGACCGAAGTATTCGTGATAGCCGCCTGAAAAACCCCTGATTCAATTAGTGTTTGAAAGTCAAAGTCTAAGTTCGTTACTCACGTTCCAATGCCGTGGTGGGTGTACAACATGCTGGTGACTCCGTCGAATCGGAAACCGTCGAAGTGGTACTCCTCCATCCAGAAGCGCAAGTTGCTGAGCAAGAAGCGCAGGACTTCGTGATGACCGTAGTTGAACAGCCTGCTGTCCCACAGCTCGTGTCGTCCCTTGGCACCCTCGTGGAAGTAGAGATGGTCGCTGCCGTCAAACATGTTGAGACCGTCAAGCACGTTCTTAGATGCGTGACTGTGTACCATGTCCAGCAAGACTGTGATGCCCATTCCATGCGCAGTATCAATGAGCTCCTTCAGATCGTCTGGGAAGCCATAACGGCTGCTTGCAGCAAAGAAGCTGTTGATCTGGTAACCAAAACTCGCGTAGTATGCATGCTCCATGACGGCCATGAGTTGTATAGTGTTGTATCCTAGATGCTTGATGCGAGGGAGGATATCACGTGTGAACTCCTTGTAAGTCGCTACCTTGGGCTCTGGGGAGGAAATGCCAACGTGGGCTTCGTAGATACGCGCGCTCTGGGGCTTGGGCGGTCGCTGGTTCTTCCAGACGTACTTCTGGGGAGGGTTCCAGAAGCGGGCGTCGTATACGGGGGAGACATTGAGGTCTTGGGTCACTCGGGTGATCCAGGCTGGCAGGCGCTCCTGGCGCGCATGGTCGTTGGGTACGACGAAGGATACCTTGATCTTGGAGTCGTGGGGGATGGTGGGCTGACCATTCTGGCCAGGCACGGTAACCTCGAAGACACCGAAGTCGTTCTTGGTCATGGGGGTCGCATCGCGGTTCCAGTCATTGAAGTCACCAATGAGGTAGGCGCGCAGGGCATTCGGGGCCCATTCACGGTACACGACGTCGCCATTGGACTGGACGTTGAAGCCGAACTTCTCGTAACCCTGCGCACGGTTAGCTACACGGCGCTCGTGGAGGCATGCATGGAGCTTGCCCGCGAGAACTTGTCAAGGCCGCCCTCAGTCTCTTCAATGGTCTGAATCCACTTCTGTGCTTTGGAGAAGCGGCTCTTCAGCGCGTCCTTGAAAGGCTCAAGGTAGCCGTCCATCTGGATGATGCCTGGAAGCAATTGGGTCAGTCAATTGGCAGCAGCAACAGAGTAGCGGTGTGTACCAGTTCCATCGTTTGGGACCTGCCCGGGTGTGTCGCTCAGGGTCGAGTTTGCTGAAGCCTTGTTGAGCTCCATGGTGAGGGATGGTGGGAGGAAGGAGCTGTGAAGTTTGCTACCAGAGGAGATGGTAGCGAGTAGATGCAGGTTTCACAGAGACAGCCTGCCAGATTAATTGCAGAGATGATCTCGAATTTGCGGGGTCCCTAACCCGATTGCTGAGCGCAGCGCTCAACCAAAAGTTCGTTGCCAACCCAACAATCAACGTCATAGCTCCGAGCACGCTGTAACGGGCATCGCGCCCACGCCACTTGTCCCAACAGCGGTATCTACGCTGCGACGGGGGTGCGTGTCGGGAGGATTTGCGCTACAATTCGTCGGATCTGCATCCGAGCTGTGAATGCGATGCGCGAAGACCCTGACGGGGCATCACATGGTTTTGTAGACTACCTTTGGGTAGTCGTAGCACCAACGCGCGCGCGCGCGGTCGGCGGCAAGGAGGCCCTTATCGGCATCATCGGGAACCGTGGGGACCTCCCCGCATCTTCTAACGTGGGGAGCTCGCGGCGGCTCAACCACGGTTGCTTCCAAGCCTCGAGCACAGCCGGCGCCATCGTGAGTCCATTAAAGCCCTCGTGATGCCCTCGATGCCCGCGTAACTTCTGTAGTGTGAATTCCTCTGCGCTCTCCTCTTCCACCATGATGTTGCCACGGACCCTCCAGCGCGCGCTCCCCGTTGCCGTCTCGCCCCAGGCCCGCGCGTCCTACCTCGCCCTCTATAGCATCTCGCACCGTGCACCCTTGTCCCAGTCGCACACGCGCAAATCCTCCAGATTCAACCGTTCCGACTTCAGCGGCCAGGGCTTCTCTTCCTTCTATGAGCCCGATCAGCCCACGCGAGGCCCATTGGGCAACACCAGCAATGTGGGCGCTGGTCTCATCACGCCCAAGGTCCTGAGACAGCATCTGGACCAGTTCGTCGTGGATCAGGACCGCGCAAAGATAGTATTGAGCGTAGCCGTCCACGAGCACCATCTCCGAATCCAGGAAATCAAAAGGCAACATCATGAGCAGGCTAGACTCGAGGCGCAGGCGCAGAGGAGAGCATCTGTATACAGACATCCTGTAGAAGGTAGCCCCAAATCTCATTTTGATCCAAGCATCCATGATTTCAGCTCTCATCCCCAGACCTTGCCATGGCTGAGTAGCAGAGCAGACGAGTTCCCCGGTCAGCAGTCCACCGTAGAACTGCATAGTCACAGTGACCCTCTACCCTACAGCGAAGCACCTGCCTACAAACCAGCCTCGTCCACTGCCCCCGACTCCGATTCCTTGCTCGATACTAGCGAGCGCCAGCTGCAGATAGAAAAGTCCAATGTGCTTATACTTGGTCCGACTGGTGTAGGCAAGACACTGATGTGCAAGACACTGGCAAAGACGCTGGGCCTGCCCATCTCCATGTCCGACTGCACTACCTTCACACAGGCTGGGTATATTGGCGACGATGTCGAGTCTTGCGTAGCCCGCTTGTTCTCGGCCGCCAACTATGATATCGACGCAACTGAGCATGGCATCATCGTTCTCGATGAAATCGACAAGATCGCAGGATCCAAGATGTCATACGGCAAGGATGTCGGTGGTGAAGGTGTCCAGCAGGCGCTCCTGAAAATCATCGAGGGCACAACCGTCCAAGTGCAAGCAAAGCCAGAGAAGAGCGCAAACAAGCCCGGCGGTATGCCTGGTGGTCCTCAACCTCCTGGGCCTGGTGGAAACAAAGGCGAGGTTTTCAACATACGAACTGACAACATTCTCTTTATATGCACTGGCGCCTTCTCCAATTTGCACAAGATCGTCCTGGACAGGAAGTCAAAGGGTAGTATGGGCTTTGGGGCGTCGATACGGACATCGAATGCACATGCCGCCGCCGACGGTGTCATGCTCACTGGCCCCGAGGCTGAATCCTTCAAAAAAGACTCGCCATTCTTCGTACCTCCGAAGAACGACGTACCTAATCCCTTCGGCGTCAGGCAGATTCAGCGAGAGGAGAGGATCAACGTACTTGACCATGTGCAGCCAGCGGACCTGCAGAAGTTTGGCATGATACCTGAGCTCATAGGTCGGATACCCACAGTCTGCGCAGTGGCGGCCTTGGACGAGGAAGCTCTTGTTCGCGTTCTTACCGAGCCCAAAGACAGTCTAATACGACAGGAAGAGCACAAGTCGTATCTCAGGAACATCGAGCTGCGCTTCACCAACGGCGCGCTTCGTGAAATCGCACGGAAAGCGAGTCGGATGGGCACAGGTGCCCGTGGACTACGACACGTCGTCGACCAGCTCCTCTTGCAAGCCAAATATGAAACACCCGGTATGTTATCATTTCACCCCGAGGATAAATTCAGAAGACTGACCAAATCAGGCTCAAGCGTCAAGCACATTCTCGTAACACAAGACGTAGCCCTCCTCAAACGCGCACCTCTGTACTTCCACCGCGGCCAATCTGCCGCATTCGAAGCTGCCCACGCGCAAGAAGAAGAACGATTCGAGGAAGAGCTACGAAGCCAAGAAGATCCAACGATTGCTAGCGGCACCAGCAACTTCCAAGAATACAGGAAAGCTAGTGCTGCGGGCTTTTAGCCTACAGTGTGCTACGGGATCGCGCCACCAAGTTGCGGGAGCACCGCAGAAGCCCGCAGAAGAACACGAGGGGGTGTGTAGGCCTGTCTTTCGGCCTGCTTGCAGCGCCCAGTGGGCGCAGAGGCGTGCCATGCATACTAGGATATAGCAGACCCAGCTTATACGCAAGCAAGCGCGGCTTCGGGCCGTTGCAGCTCTTCTGATTGTGCATCCCGGTGCTCAAAATTCCGTCAAGAGCCGAGGGCAATAACATTTGCTATTGATACAGTCCGGTCCTGGTGTTTCGAAAGCTCACCTCAACTCTGTCTGGACTATTTGGCTCCCATTCGCCCCCAGCATGTGCTGCGAAGCCTTTCTGTTTTTAATATCTCTCCTTATTTCTGTATCTTGGGAGTTCGAAATGGTGTTTGGGGTTCTTACTTTTGTTTTCGGTTTTTGACTTGGTCGGCTATTCTGGGAAGGATTCGGATGAATTGAATGAATGCGTGTTGGTGACACAACATATAGTTTTTGGTACAACAATGAGATAATGATCTGCCTCTCGATGAGATTCTGCACTATTCATTATGAGAGCGCCATCATCCTGACTTGCATAAACGCCCCCGTCCCGAAGAAAGGTTGTTTAGACATCCATCCGTCCGAGTGTCGAATAGAAAGGGGTAGGCTCAGGTCATGCTATGCCTTGTTCATATTGATGGCCAAAAATCAAAGGAGCTCAATATACGGTCATGCTCGGGTACCTGCGACGTTCGCGTTGTGAACCCTGAGGGCACATGCTACTTAGCTTGCCGGCTGCTTCTCATCGATGTATGTGGTGCGCATCCCACACCATCCAATCTACCACATATTAACTTCCGTAGCTCGGCCGCTGTATACCAGCATTCCGGCATCGAACACGCTTTGTTGTAGCGAGCCGGGCGAATTGAAGGAAGGTGATGCGAGCGCGCGATAGGCCTTTGCTGTGGGAGTTGACTACTGTTGCTTGTTGGCGATAAGGGTGTGAAGGAGTAATTTTTCTCAGTAATTTTGTTTTCGGTCTTCATGTTGTCGTGTTCTGCCTGTCTGTATCCATTGGTCCCGTTCGATTCCATAATGTTCGTAGTGCTGTTGCATCGGATGAGGTGAAGTCAATATGCAAACTCCGGCTCTTGCAACCAAGCGAGCACTGCGAATGCTGCGAATTAAGATTCTCAATCAATTTTCGCTGTTCTTCGTAATCACACGTCTCACCGAAACTGTACTAGGTATGCATTGTTCATGCAATGGGGTGGCATTGATGAATATCCTGCAGATGTGTTGTGAGCTGGAATTAGCCAAGCCAGGACAGATATCATGATCTAGGGTGGTGCAACCCATAGCGCCTTCTAAGCCCTGTCCTGCTAAAGATCACGCACTGAGGCCTGCACGATTTGTATGCTGATAGTAAAATGATTCATTGAATCTACCAATCCTCGTGAGGGAACTAGTAGTAAGGAGAATTGATACAGGATCTGGTCTAGTAATTAAAGTTATAGTAACAGAACAAAGTCTATGGCGGATCCGCCCGTTAGAACGACATCTGACAGCGAAGAAAAGTACAGATGAGATTTCATGTGGAACAAACGCTTTTTCCAGAAACCAGAGTGGCCGAAGCTAGAATTGTTTCATGTCAGAAAACCATCCACCCAGATCATCATCAAACATCAAAGTGAAGAACTCCGAAAACGCCACTCAAATGCCCGCTGTACATGGCGCCGTATTTGTATTCATAATTCGTGCTTTCGTATCGTCAAGATCTCATTCCTCAAAGTCCTCATACAACATAAACCCAGGCTGAGCGCGCATCTTCTTCGCGCCCCTTCCTTGGTCCCATGTTGGCGATGCTGGCCGAGAGGTGGCACGTGATGGCGGCTGTGACGAGTACATCTGTGGATACGACTGTTGTGTTGAGAATTGAAAGTTGTACGCTTGCGGGAAGCTATCCAAAGAATGAGGGCGGTGAAGGGCGTAACCAGCCTGAGCCGACATCTGGTCTCCTGTGGGACTGAGCATTGTTGGTGAAAAGTAGCTTTGACCGCGCTGGTGAGTGGCATATTGTTGTGTAGGCGCAGGTGCAGGCATTGCAGCACCATAGAAGCCCATACCAGCCTGGTTGGAAGCCTGAGTCGCAGGAGTGGGATTCATCATCCGGGGGTACTGTGCCTCGCGTGGGAAAAACATGCTCTGCGAGTGCGGCAGTCCAGGAGCTTGTGGGACAATAGGCGTCGTGGGTAATGAGTACTGACTGCTGCAGACAGTCGGGGAGTATTCGGACATGGGAACAGTGTACTGAAGCGGCATCGAGTCATGTGGCCCAGTGGGAATGGTCAGGGAGCTCAGGGCTTCTGAGGGGCTTTCCTTGTTCTTGTGGTCGTCTGTGATTTGTACAATCTCGGAGATCTCCTGTGCGAGAACGTTTTCGTTGGCGTCCTTGAAGGTGAATATGACCCTGTAACCAACGGGTGATTTGTCTTCTTGATGCCTGCAGTAGCATGTTATGCGCATGACGAACTCAACCTTTTTGGCATTCAAAGAGTAATCAGGGTTTTCGTTGTCCTGCCACCTCTTGAACTCCTTCTCGTTAATCATGATGATGCGGTCGTCCTCGTAGTTGGACCACTCTTTTTCATCATCTGCCTCGCGCTTCTTTTTGCGGTTAAACCTCTTGGCTTCGCGCTCTTTGCAACCCTCACAGATGATGACTGCACCGCCATTTTGGGGGTGACACCGGTCATCTTTGGCGATGTCTGTGATGGCCACGCCACGTGGGCGCCTTGGGGTCGCTTCCTCGCCTCGAGCACGACGGAAGGCACGGTCCAGTCCTTCGGGCTTTTCCACGGCAGTCGCCAGAACGAGAGTAAGCTGCAAACGGGCAGTGCAGTTGTTCTTCTCATTAGCTTCAACCTCTTCAGTGCTGGCCATCTGCTTTGGTTTGGCAAGGTTTTGGCGAGGGAAGCGAATCCACTGGAAGTGCGGAGCGAGCGGGTCCATTGTCACGGTAGTCTTGATTTGAGTTTCGGCCCGGTTCTTGTTCTTGTCGAGCGCAATGAAGACTTTGGCTTGCTCGACGGCCTGCGGGATGTGGATCGCAGGCCAGCTGTCGTTGGTAAGGGAATCATTGCAAGTCTCGGGGGAACTGGTCTGGCTCTGATCCCGGTTGTACTCGCCTGGGGAGTTGGCATTGCTAAAGATGAAGTTGTCGTGTGGTGAGGGTGTGTTGGATGTGGGTGTAGACTGGGCAGTGTTTACAAAACTGCTGAACTCGTCCTCGGCCTTGATGCATGGGTAGCCTTGGGTGGAGAAAGAGGTTAGGTCAAGTGCCGAGTCCTGTTTCCTGCTGGAGCGCTCGCTTGTGCCAGGTAGCACGCCAACAGCATCGTACGAGGGCGAGAAGGTGTTTGGGTCAATGCGCATCTGCCAGAACGAGTCTGGGAAGTCGCCATGGTTCTCGAGGTCCTGGGGATTGACAAAGGTGTTGTAGTTCTGCATCGTGTCCATGGTGGGCAGACAGACGTCTGGGTAAGGAATTGTGGGCCGGAAGAGGGTCCCGCGGTCGATCAAGATGTTAAACGAGAGTGGGCAGTGTGCAGGAGATGCGAGGACAGAGATAACCCGTGGGTCAAAGGAAGCGACAGTCTGGGACTATAAAGCTAGCAATGGGAATAGTGTGGGCGTGTAATCGGTCGTGGCCACTGCTGATGAGGGGTCTGCTCGCAAAACCAAGGGTGCAGGTCAGCGCTGCGTAAGTGATGAGCACGACCGGCTATTGTCCAATGAGACAGCGCGCGAGCCAAGTTGCGCACCGGAGGTGTCGGCGGGCGGGGAGACGCGTCAGGGGCAGCGGAGGACGATGAGACCAAGACTGCTGCAGAGGGCGAATGGGGGTGGGTGAGATGGAAGGTGGTGAGGGGAGTAGTGAGGCAGGCGAGCGGGGTGCGGAGGAGGGAGAAGGTGGGTTATGGGGACGAGTGAATAGAGGGCGGTATTTCTCTTAGCAACACCCCACTGAGGTTCGCCGCAGTCTAAGGCTACTACTAACCAACGTCGAATGATCCCTGCCCATGCGAACGACACCACCAAGAAACGGAGCGGGCGCCTTTGTAGAGGTACATCGATTCCATGACTGTCTGCAAGTGGCAGCGTCGTCGCCCGCCCGGCTACCCAGGCCGATCCACAGCTGTCCGACGCCCCAGAGCACTGGACTCGGCGCTACCCATTATGCCTCAATTTTTCAAACTCCACTATCCAAGGGTAGTGAATTGTCTATTCTTCCATTGCGAAACTCATGCGGTCCACCACGGGAGATGTACCTGAACCTCTGCGCCGTCGAGTGCACGACCCGTTAGCTGCAGATTCTTCATCACCCTGCAACACGCTGATACCGCCTTACTCGTCTGGGTGCGCTGCCTTCTGACAGGCGGCTGGAGTCGGCTTGCCGTGTAACTGCGCCGTTTGTGCTCAATCAAAACATTGCATCGTGTCCGACGCCTTGCAGCCAGGCCATGCGAATCATACTGCACCATTGCGTCGAGGCCTGTCCACCATGCACGCCTCAGATCCACGCCAGTCTGGGACTTGGCTTCTCGCGGAGTCTCATCCGACAGACCGAGCCAAGTCTTTCTGCCACCTGGGCGTCTTTCCAGACGCCTCGAATGGTGCCATCGACCGCCTACCTGACAGAGAGTTTCCAGGGCTGATCGACCACTCAGGCTCTCCAGGGTTCCTCGTCGCGCACGTCCAGCTGCAGCTTCTGTCCATGCCTGTCGACTTGTAAACTCTGCGTTCAGACACAAATTTCGTTCTGGTTTTCGGACGCAGTCTGCCGCAACACGTATCCATATCTGAGCTGTTGCTAGGCTGCCGTCATCCGCCCTGTTAAACCCCAGGATTTTAGTCCTTAGCCCCCGCTTCCAGTGGCGATGGACGCACACCGCTGGGTTTCTCGGAATGCAACTACTCGAGCTGCCATATCCCACTCCATGACACAAATTGATGCTTAAGCAATACGGATTTAACCCCGAATGTGTCTGTAACATGTCCAAAAAAGAGTACGATATTACGAAACGCGCAGGCTGCTACGTCGCAAACTCACCTACAGTCTGGTAGACTGACACGAATCTTTGCTACTTAATGATGCTTTTTGCTCGGCCGGGCTTCCGCGTGGCTTTGCGGATATTTGGTCATTGGCTCTCTGTCGGCATGGTACTCGCTGGTAGAGGTCCGACACACGCGCCAAGTCAACCTAGGAGCAGAAGCAGACCTTCCTAACAGTCGCCCAAGCTGACAATTATCAACTTTTGTTCTACGGTGCTTCGAATACAAGCACGGTCTCACATCCGGTGCTTCCTGTAAGTCGAGAGGATTGACCTCTGCTTCAGATGTGGTTGACATGCAAACTTTTTCTAAAATTCTGCACGTACAGAGTCCCTGTGTTGCGCCGTGCTATAGCAAAAGGTATTATACTACCAGGACAACTGGCACCAGACCACATATAGGAACAATCTTCCCCTGCGGGCGATCCTGCAGTATGGAGATTAGAGAAACCCCCACACCCTATCAAGCACACCGTGCCTAGCATAGTCCCAACCAACGTCTGCAGTCGCGGCCTGCGGGTAGATAGTTGTTTGATAAGATAGCGTTCCCGTACCGTACTTTACATATCAAGTCGACCATGGTACGTTTTGCAGTAACACAATTAGTATGCAGACCCCACCGGCATTAGGTAGGGACATGCAACTACCACGTTCCCAGAGTGTAAGATATTCCGTATACACCCGCATGCATAACACCTACAGTCAACTATGCCACAAGTGTGCTACTACCGTGCCACAACATCAGCCGCTTGACATCTCTAAACAACTCTAAGAGGGTCAGGCGTAGCACAGCAGCAGCGGCTTGCACCTGTCCGGAAGGAATCGGTAGTATCAGTGGCGACGGCCCGCTGATGCTCTGGAAGGCTATCCGTAATTCGTTGTACATACCGAGGGTCTTCATATAGGAAGGCTTCAGGTTTTAGAACTTTCTTGCATTCGACACTCTGATTTTACTGAGCCTGGGTATATCCAAGTGTAAGATAGCTTTAGACAAGATAGTTGTCGTCAGGCTTACCAAACTCGAAGACTGTGGCCATTCGTACATGTTGTGGAGCGTGGAATTGTTCAACGACATAGGTGAGCAACTCGACGCAAGACAGTCTCGCCACGATTGACAAGCTACACCAATGTACCACATATGCCCCTCATATGTAGCACACATACATGTACGATGAGATCTTTGTTACATATGAAGACGTTCGTATTATCTAAGGTATGACACCCAATAGCGGGACTGATTTGACTGTGAAGATATTCACTAGAACCAATGTTATGCTTGAAATACGTAAAACGCCTCGAATACTTCTACAGCACATTATGGCTACACTTGAGAAAGCACGAGCCTCGATATATATACTAGGAGAAAAACCCTCCCAAGATTTCGATACGTCATGCGTGACATGGTGAGACTGCAGAGCCACTGGTCAAGATACCATCTGTCCAACACTGCGATGAGTTGAAGCTTGACTCAACCAGCCGGACATTAATGCTCCAACGAAGAGAAACCGTTATGTATGCACTGTATTCGCAATCGTTTCGCTTACCAAACGCACGAATGAGCCTGCTTGCCAGAACACCACCTTTCGAGCCACACAAAACCCCTCAGGTGCAACACAATGCATGTCCAAGGCTTCGGCAATATCTGCGTACCCAATTTCGTCGTCTTCCCCTGCCCACAACGTCACGGACCAGGTCCATAGTAGCCTACCATTCTGCATTAAGATGGACGCCTTTTCTACATTGAGTATCCAGGTGGTGTGATTGTGGGCTCAGCGGCACGACACGAACTCAACGGTCCTGGAAACGGGCAGATAAGTGGCTCTGGTATAAAGCAGCCCCATGGGAAGTACTCAGTACATAGGATCCTTACCCCTCTCTTCCCACACGCGAACGAACTGCACCCTGTCGCTGTTGCTGACAATCTGCAGCATTCCCATGATACCGTTATCGCGGACGCGCAGCCAGCCACTCAGGTGATATTGCAACCCTAAAATGGCGCCTCTTACGTTTCCGTAGCAAAGTTCTCGACGCTGGACACTGCTAGCGCGCATGTTGGTGCAGTGCGCGTCCAGGTTGTAAGCGGAGCTTCGTTTTCCAAGGACAGGACCTCTCGACATAGCACATGAATAGGCTGGTCTCCACTTCCAACTCTCTCCTGCGTCGTGCCTTTTGCACTACGGCAATATGTTCTTAGCAGCAACCAACCCATACGGACGCCTTGTGGGTTACGGTACTGCCAGCCTCTCCTTAGTCGTAGCAAGATGCAACTAGAGCAACCCATTTTTCTTACCATAGCTATGCTTTGGGATACGTTCTGCTATTGCAGCTTAGAGAACGCCTTCTCTGTGAAATGCTGCACGAAGGATCAACATTCCCTTCCTCGATTGCATGCCTGAACCGCAGTTAGGCATTATTCCCGCTACCCGCTACCCGCTATCCGAAATCTCTTCACCGTGTTTCGTTCCGACGCGGCTTCTCGATCGTCACTGCCACACATCTCAGCCTGTTTACTTTCGCTTGCTCATGCCGCATCCTCTCAAGCCATGGGCTGCACGCTTGGAATCTCGACCCGTCCGTGGGCGGCGAAGCGGCTAAAATGCGCGATGCTAGCGCCAAAGTAAGCATTAAGCTTTAGCAGCCAAGCAACCGTTCTCGTGCGGCGGACGCGCCTCCGGGACTGCTCAATGGGGGATCCCCCAGCACGGCAGACGGATCGCACAGATGTCGCATCGTTAGCCATGCCATATCAAAATAGTCTTTTTGACGGACGCGGAGATTATGGTGATGAGATGCTTTTTTAAGATAGGCTACGTCTACATCGCGTCCGTACCTGCCCACTACCAGCCTCGTACCGGCGCGTGTCACGTCCTTGCGAATCGTTGGATCCGCGATTCGCGATGTCGGAGGCGGAGGTGACCGACAAGCCGGAGCAAAAGTGGAAGAGATCCATGGATGCGCCCGAAGTGGTGCCGTAGACGAAGGACGATTAATTCCAAGCGCAGCAAAGGCTGACGACGTTCGAATGTAACAGCGGGAATAGTAAGGTGGAGATGCGCCGTTCTCCTTCGATCTGGAAGGATGTACAGGTACATGTACACATCACGATTAGTGTCCGCGGAGGCTGAACATGACTCCATGCAGGGCCGATTGAACGATGATATGACAGCCGTTTTCGACATATTGCTGCCCGATTTGTAAACTGCATTCGCAAGGGATTTCCTCGTTGTAGTAGTATTCATTGCTACGAAGCGCTTACTATCGCTTTTTGCGGCCGACAACAAGCCCGACACTTGATCATGAATCCACCCCCACAGACGAAACATGATTAATATGTCAAATCTTTCAGCGCGCCTATAACAGCTTCCGGAGGTTCTGGGGCTCTCTTGTGGATCAACGTCGTACACAGTAGGTTTCATGTATTCCTTGAATCTTCTTGATACCGGGTATGGTACCAGTTGTCCCTGTTCGGGCCGATACAACGAATTCTTCAAGTCTATGCGGCTTTCATGAATGTGTTACGGTCTTGGTGATTGAGTCTGTCATGGTGAGTTTTCGACCGAGTCCATCGATGTTTGCATATGGATCTTGAATCGACCAATATGGAGTCCAGCGTCTGTCTTGTCTCTCTCTTTCTTTCTTGTTGAACAGAGCAAGAAGCGAGAAATAGGAGAGTTGGCTTGATCGTGTCTGGATCTCAAATTCTTAAAAATACTGCAATGTCTTTAGGAGTGGTATTACCAGTTCTAACTTACATGGCTTCCAGTTCTCAACTTCTTAATTTAGAAACGTAAGGGTGATTCATGACTTTTAGAAATCACCAAGATCATTGTAATTTTCATGTTGCTCTGATAGCGTCATGGTCTATCCAGAAAATAGTTGTACGTTTTTACACAGTCAGTCTTTAAGCAACCCAGGTATTGGATACTGCGAGCATGTGATGTAAACAAGAACAGACAACATAATATCCTTGCAGATTCATGGATCTCTTTAGTAACCAGGTGAAAAAGCAGCTCATGCATATAAAATACCACAGTATCTATTCATTTGTCTACACGGGAGTACGTACGTACGACCTTTTGGAATCGTAAGCAGATGCTCATAGCAATCAAGGCCAGAAAACATGTGCCACTCCGCCATCGTCTTTTGTCCAAAAAGTATTTGAAAACTAAAATTTCCTCCTGACCATAACGTCTAGGTTCCAACTAGGTCATTCTAAAATGAAGGCTTGGAAAATTGGTATGACTTCGAAAGTCTAAATGGCATGAATCTCAAGACCCTGAAGACATAATTTCGGTCCTGAAAGGAAGATGCGATGCTGATCGAGTAGAATTGTGGTTGCCCATGATAGAGGTACAGCTGACAAAAGGATCTAGCTCTGAATAGTCTACGGGACAAGGTAGATGTATAGAATAGGGTGGAAGGCAGTATGGAGAGCGTACGTGGAGCCCTGCTGGCGGCGACTTGGGCACCTTCCTGCATTAGGACGAACCGAGGTGGGGCCATCAGCTTACAGCAAGCACGAAGGAAACACCAAACGACGCGTCTCGACGCGCACAACCCGCGCCATTGTACTTTGGCGATTTCTTCTTTCCGTCCTGCAGCGTGCTGTTAAGGGATATACAAGCTTCAAGATGTTTTCGTTACCCATGATCGCGCCGCGCCCAGTAAGTACTTTTACACATGTCTTGACTGCTTCAACTGAAGATGCGAACATCCAAAGCTTCAGATCTAAGCAACACTAGAATTGAGTTGACGATATTCCAAGGATGCCAGCCTCTGGCCTTCCCACCACACCACCCACGCCGCCTTTGAGGATACCCACTCGCACTCTCCACCAGACACATCTCATGGCCACAACAGCCGGCGACCAACTTCGCACCACGGCCCACGTCGCCACCAGAACCATCTCCTATCCAGCCTGACTGCCGACGAAAACACAATCGCGCAGCGCAAACTCAATGTCCGCAGATTCGGCGCGGGTTGGCTGCGTCCGCCTGGTGTCACCAAAACACTGCAAGCGATTGACGACGAAAGGCTAGAGAAGGAGGAGCAAGAGATGATGCAGCGCAGAGAGCAAGTGATGATGGATCTAGCAGCCGCACAGCAGGATGCTGCAAACGAAGAGCAAAGGGAAAGAGGAGAAATGGAAGAAGATGCTGGGGAAGGAGAAGTAGAACGGGATCTTGACGATGAAGTTCCTGAGGCACAAAGCACACCCAGTGCATCCGAAGTATCGAGTGACGAAGAATCAGAGGAGGAAGAGGAGGGAAGTGAAGTCAGTGGCGACGTCCAAGAAGAAAGCACTGTACCCTTCAATGAGGATAGTTTCATAGAAGGCAGCATGCTCGAAGCAGAAGTGTCTCATATGCTGGAGATGGAAGAGGCGGAAATGGCAGGCGTGTTGCAAGACGAACGCGATCTCGATGACGATGTTCCTGAAGCTGGGAGCTACGAACACACGGATTCTGAACTCGAAGATGATAGCGATGTGGATACCAGCGCTCTTCCACCTGGACTCAGCTCCGTGCGTTCGAGACGCTCAACAAGGCGCCGTTCAAGTGGACGTCGTAATTCGAGTCGCAGAAGCTCGGGGCTGCCTGGTGGTATGTTGTTTGGGGGTGGACATCCTGCGGTTGGAAGGGTCAGTCTCGGGGTCGATCTGGGAAATGGAAGGAGTAGCTTTGGTATGGACGGGAGTAGTTCATTTCTTGAAGGTAGCTCTTTTCTGCGGAGTTCGCCGGCGGGGAATGCTGCGGCCAATAGGGGCAGCTTGAGAGATAGGTTCTTGGGTGCTGCGAGAGGTGGTGGAGGCAGCAGCAGGAGGGCTTAAGATTAGATGTGGTAATGATTATGATTGTATGATAGAGATACCCAGTAGCTCCACGAAGCCTAGATACCTGTATTGAAAGTGCTCGAATGGTAAAGACGTGTTGGCGGTGTGTATGTCTGGAGGCTTCATCCTCACCTACGCTCGCTTCCATCCATCCATCCATCCTAAACATGACCTCGAAAGTCCCCACAACCCCCATGCCTAACCTACCATCTGATAGAATGCCCTGCCGAGGAAGCTGCCTGCCTCGTCGTAAACCTCTGCGTGCGCTGCCCTTTCTTTCTCAGAGTCCATGCCCAAGCAAGCACCGACACACCGAATCCAATCCTCCAAAGCAATCCTGCCTGTCATCAGAAGATGATACTCCAAACGTGTCTCTGCGGAACAGTCTCCATCGACACATTGGCCAGTGTAGTCTCCAGCGGCCATGCCGCACAGCTGATCGAGGCGACCCTGCCACTCGTCGTCGGCAATAGTGATCATCTCGCACATGGCGCGTAGTATAGACTCCAATGTAGACACATCGCTGTTATGAATGACCCAAAGTGCGTTGTATCTGGCGATGGTAGCGTCGACAAGCTCGATATTGGAGAGCAGATCGTGGGCGAGGGAGCGACGAGCGAGTTCTGGGCTCATGCACTCGCGGTTTGATTCAGCGACCAACGTGCATGGTTGAGGACGCCTGGTGCAGATGTGAGTGTCCCTAGAATAGGGATGACTGTCGATGCGAGTGGAAACAGCCTTCTTGTGGATCTGCAGATGGAAGGGGTATGTAAGGTCCTCTAGAGCCTCAAGTGGAGGATTGAAGACGAGTATATCGGCTGCAACCTCTTCGGGTCTCAAGACGCTGAGAAGATACACCAAGTTACGGCTATTCCAATCGATAGGCTCGGATATGCCATCGGAGATTGGCGAGGTGGGCGGAGTAGAGGCGTCGTCTACATAGTTATCGCAGAAGGGGTTGGACATGACTGATCCGATGACACGCGTAATAGAACCAGAGGGACAACCAGAGTAGTAGATACTCAAGAAACGTGCTACAAGGATGTTGAAGGTATGATGACGGAGAAGTAGATGGTGACTTTGGGTGAGAGAAGGGAAGCAGTAAGGAGTAGCTGCAGCCGAGATGACGAGAACTTAAAAATAATAGCTGCATTGTCGAACAATAGCAGGTGACAGTGAGGATTGAAGCGTTGTGGTGATGGTAAATGGTGAACCACTCGAATTCACTTACGCCAGAAAGTACCCTGAGGTATTCGCATAAAATCTAGCGAGCCACACATACAATAGAACGAATGTAGACATTTAGACTTGGAATGCTGGATCCCAGAAAGAGAAAGGCGGGCTTCTTCGTAGCATGGTCGGGAGATGCGCCAAGTGACATAATGGAACACAGTAGGAAAGAATGGGCTGCTGTCACAATACAAACAGTCATGCAGTGTTTTGTCATAGTCACACATTTCAGGTGATGTCGTTCATTTATCCTTGGTGTCCTTTCCGGCGGCAAATATGTACAAAGCTTAATGAGTCGCAAAGATGTTGCGTGTGCGCAGGTGGACTGGGGTCTCACCCTTGGGCGCATCTGGTATCGTCTTCTCCAATTTCTGAAACCGTGTTAGTGAAGGACGTGAGCGAAAGTAATATTCCAGCATACCAGCTTTTCGAACACACACTTGTTCAGCTTGCGCTCTTCTGACCGGCAGTTCCAGAGTTGCTGGTTGTGGTTCTCTAGGCATTGCCAGTGGGTGCGGAACTCTGCCAGGCAGTTCTCATTGATGTCCTTGATACTGCCACATGTGTCAACAACCAAGGTCTAGAAGGAAGCCTTCTGCTGGTACGTACACGCTAGCCGCACACCTGGTGACCTTACGGCCCTCCTTCATACAGTCGAACTCTCCCCGGCCGTTGGCCTCGGTCTTGCACATCATGTAATCATCGTTGTAGGCCTTGCATCGCGCGCCAATGAAGAACGAGGCACTTAGGAGGGGCGCAGAACTGGCTCCGAGCTCTTTGACCTTGGGGATGTCGTCGGGTAGAGGGGTGGTGTCGATGAGGGCTTGCTGGTTGAACCTGCAAATTATTAAGCGCTTGAAGCTAACTATGGGACGAGAAGAGAGAGTTTACCTGGGCTGGCGCGACGACATCTTGAGGGTGAGGTGCCAATGGCGGGCTATCTGCTTATGAATTGAAGATGATGCTCGTGAGGTCGTCGCGGAACTCGGTCTTGGCGGTTCACTAAAACTGGCAGGGATGCGATCGGCCGCAGCTTGTGCCTGTCCTTTGTGAGTGAGAGACAACACGCTCCCACCATTTAACCTGCACCTCCACTACACCTCTTGCACGGATTTGGGGTCTCTCGGCAATCAGAATGCGCGCGGACTGAGCTTGCTTGAGAATTATCCCTGCGCCAACGTCTCCGCGGTTTCCTCTTCGCGCACCCACGCGCGACCGAAAACAAACATCTGAAGTTCTTCCATTCGCGACTTCAGACAGCACCACTCGTTTACAACAACATCGAATCTGCCTAGGAGGATACGCGCATACCCTGGGCTTTATACAACATGTCATTCAGCTTTGGAAACACGGCTGGTGGGGAGAAGAAGACGGGTACTCTTTTTGGAAGCACTACAGCACCAGCTGGTGGTCTGTTTGGTCAATCGCAGCAGCAACAGCCACAGCAGTCAAACGCGACACAGTCTGGCGGCCTCTTCGGGTCATCGACCGCCCCCCAGAATAACAACAACACCAACAACAATGGCTTGTTTGGATCAACACAACCACAGCAGCAGAACTCCGGATCGAGCTTGTTTGGCCAGCCGCAGCAACAGCAACAGCAGCAAAATGCAGGCTCGAGTCTCTTTGGACAGCCTCAGCAGCAACAGCAACAACAAAACGCGGGCTCCAGTCTGTTCGGCCAACCCCAGCAGCAGCAGCAGCAGCAACAACAGGGGCAACAGCAACAGCCAAACATGGGCAACAGCCTATTCGGCGCCTCGTTGCAGCCAGCACCTGTTCTCAACAACGTACAGGCGCAAAGCGTTCAGCAACAGCGCGAAGGGCTTCCGCAGCTGCGCCAGTCTTCTGCACAACCTTTTGCTGGCTCTGCCTACATGACCGGTCACAGTATGAACCTTTCAACTCATTTGCTGAAGCTATGCTAACACCTATTAGGAGAGAAGTCGGTCATCGAGCAGATACGGATTCTCAACAACAAGTGGGACCCCGAGAACCCTGAATGCGTCTTCCAATACTACTTCTATAACTCGGTCAAGCCCGAAGAAGCGCCCTTCTACGGGCCCTCGCAAGGCGAAGACGAACGGAAATGGGAGGAGGCTTTGTCAAAGAAGCCAAGCCCAGGTGCCATCCCTGTGCTTGCCCGCGGCTTTGAACAGGTTGGAGAACGCATCAAGCAACAAGCAGCTGCCGTCACCGCGCTCCGGACCAGACTGCACGAGATCAACAACAGTCTGTCACTTCTCAAAGACGCGCACGAGCTGACTGTAGCTTCGCGCATCACTGAAGCAAAGCGGAAGCACATCGTTTTCACACAACGAACACTAGCCCTTGCAACCAAGGTCCAGATCCTGCGTAACCGAGGATACGTCATGGATCAGCCAGAGGAGGACCTGAAGAAGAAGCTCATCGAGTTGGAGAAGCAGACGTTTGATCCCGTACTTGGCGGGCGACAAGAAGAGATCTGGGCGCGTATGTCTGGTGTGCGCGAGCGGGCGCGTATCCTTCAGGAGGAGACCGAAAAGCTGGGCAAAACGATTGAGCAGCAACAAAACGGTGAACTCCTTACTGATGAAGACCAAAAGGCACTAGAGAAGGTAAGAAGCCAGCTTCATGACGCCTTGCATACACTAACAATGTACTGTAGCTACTCAAAGACTATGACCGACAACTCGAGCACCTCAAGAAGTGGGTCGACGACACTAGAGACGAGTACGATGAATGGGAGACGGCGCAGCAATCAAGGCCGACAAAGCGATAAGAGCATAATACGGTGGCGTGTTCGGCATGTACGATTCATAGGCGATCTGGAGGTTATATTTCGAAAAGTCGGGCGTCGTGAGATACCAAGCAGCGGACGGATGCATAGAAGGCGTACAATTAAGCGTTGCATAATATCTCATCTTCATCATAGTGTGCGCTGGAGCATTGGTGATCGATTCTTTTATTCACATAGCAGTCCTTTCTAGCTGACTGAAAGCACCAAGTTCACTTCTCCTGGCCACTCAGTGTTTTGTGTTTTGATATGATCATGCATATGCCAGTTGGTCTTCCGTGATTTCCCGCCGATTCTCAAGAAATATGTGTCGATAACATGTATACGGTAAGGGTATTTGTGTCCGTTCAATATGTAGAGCCTACAGTATAGACCAGTATAGTTACAAGCGCATCCCCTGCGCACATGTTATACAGAAATTTGCTGATATATCGCTGGGTGTCTCCAAGTTTATGCTTGTTTACGTCCAGCGTCAAGGTGTCGTGGAAAAGTTCATGATCGCAGGAAGGGTCGTTGCTTAGAAGAGCTTCGAGACGTATTCGACGAGATGAGGTGCTACAGGCAACCTGTTAGTCTTCCATCTGTATACTGCCCAGTCTCTGGTTGCTCTTACAGAAATAAAGCACAACAGCGCTGGCTGCTGTCCACTTGATATCGGTCATAGTCTGTGCTTCGGCCGCAGCAAGCTCCTGCTTGGATGGTTGGGGTGGTGCTGTCATGCACGTTAGTATCATTATCTGTGACTCTCCCGTCATAATTGTTAGAACCAACCTCCAAACATTTTCGTTATGTCTTGTATGATCTGTGCGGTGAATCACAAGAAGGGTTGTAGTGGTGTGCAAGATGGGTATCTCAAAGATGACGTTCACACTGCACTTCGATACGCAAAAGTTTGGATTGTCGGAGTTTGGGCTGCGATGTTTCCGATAAGATTGGTCACGTGCCCGCGCGTCCCTACCCAGATTGTTTGTTATGCGTCCCTCTCCTCCGTCAGCATGAAAGGAGCAATTTCTTCCTATCCTTTTTCTCTATATCGTTGCACGACGCTGATACCCTCATTTACGCAGTCTGCCCGACAGAACCCGGGCATCTTTCCAACATCCGGACATGCCGTTCTGATTGTCTATCAGAGACACCTGGTGGAATCGGAGTGACTTGCGCATCTCTCACTCCGTCTCGAACTTTTCGGCCCTAAGAGTGTCTCGGTGATTTGAAGCAGATGCATCATCCTAACTAGCAAGCCAAGCTTACTCGACTTAACGTGCCTTTGTACAGTATGCCACCCCTTGGATACCTAGCCCAAGACCATCTCATTTCACAGATCACTAAACAAGTACCCCTGTCTCGAACCTACACAGGGCACGGAACCATATTCATGGTTGTCATAGCGTCGTGGCGCCACACTGCCGCGGAGCAAGCTGCAAGCACGTGTTGAGACAGTCGATCCGCATCTCAATATTTGGGGGTGAGGTGGTGTTGAGTTCGTAGTGGGGCTGACACAGGAGACAATTGAAAAGTCCACTTGCATGCATGTCATCTGCAGCGCGTGGTAACATCATCAGCTCTTGTGCATAGTCACACTACATAAAGTGATGGCTCCAAGGCGCCTGGGCAGCCTATGCTCTCACTACCAGAGTTAACATAGGGCTGGCTGGCCCTGTAATGAGGCTTCGCGAACCGTTAAACTAAGTGTTTCAGCCCCCAGAAGTATGCCGTCAACATGTACGCCACATGCACCGCGGTCCAAGTCCGAGCTGAAGTGCACCACACTGCAGCACGGCTTGCGTGTCCAATCAGCCAAGCAAGTAGGCATGACTGATCGCCGCCGCGTAGTTCACTGTCGATCGGCCCTATGACAGCCATTACAGGGAGTCAGCTCTCGCCTTGATATATTAATATGTGGTGTACCGTAAGGCTAGTCGTTTGTCGACTTACTCTGTCTACCTTCCTGTCGCTCGTTATTCTTGCTGTTTTCTTATTTTACTAAGATGTTGGTTCCTACAACTTCCCTCGTGTTAGGGTTGTATTCCACTTGCGCACTCGCGCTGTCCGCTCGTTCCACCAACGGTTATGTCCACGAATCATCCAACTTACGCTTTGCGAGCCGCCACGCCCACCCACATGCTCAGCCTCGTCAATCTGCAAATCAAGATTCGTCGTGCGCCCCATACTGGCTAGAGGACATAAAGCACCAGGGCGTTGCTAGCTTCAATCCGAACCCAAACAATTACACAGTGTTCAGGAATGTCAAGTCTTATGGCGCTGTCGGCGACGGAATCACCGATGATACTGCCGCCATTCAGAAAGCGATTACAGAGGGAAGCAGATGTGCCCCGTCGTCCTGCGAGAGCTCTACTAATGAGCCTGCCATTGTATACTTTCCTGGCGGGACTTACTTGATCTCGAGCAGTCTCATCGACTATTACTACACTCAGGTATGCAGCCCGCAGAGTCCGAATAGCTAGATACACAAACGTGTTCTAGAGACATACACCATCCCATCACTCGTTAGCAAGTGGATGTGACATGACGTGTATACCTCTCGCAAAGACGTTACGTATCAGGCATAACTCGAAACGATAAGCCTCTCCGTATGAGTTACTTTGACTAACTCCTGCAAGATCATCGGAAACCCAAATTGTCTTCCTACGATCAAGGCTGCAGCCAATTTTTCTTCCACAGGCGGTCTAGGATTAATCGATGGCTCTCCATACCTAGGCACTGGAACCCGACCTGGTCGAACTGGCTTTGGACCTACAAATACATTCTTCCGCCAGATTCGCAACCTTATCCTTGACATGACACACCTCCCAGCTAACTTTTCAGCTACTGGAATTCATTGGCCAACTGCACAAACTACAAGCATCCAGAATGTAGTGTTTAACATGAACGCCGACAACGGAACACTGCACCAGGGACTCTTCGTTGAGGAAGGATCTGGCGGTTTTATGACTGACCTTGTTTTCAACGGAGGAAACAAAGGGTTCAGCGTCGGCAACCAACAGTTTACTACTCGAAACCTCACGTTCAACAATGTCAACACTGCTATTGAGCAGCTCTGGGATTGGGGATGGACGTACAAGTCTGTCTCTATTAACAACTGCCGGGTTGGACTGAACATGTCTGCCGGTGGCCCTGCCGCGGTTAACGTGGGATCTATTACCTTCTTTGACAGTGAGATCAACAATACCCCGATTGGTATCGTTACCTCTAGGACTGCCAACTCTGAGCCTGCTGGTGCCGCAGCCTTGTACTTGGAGAATGTCAAACTCGATAATGTCGGTACTGCTGTACTTGGTCCAAATGGAACCTATCTGGCAGGATCTCCTGGTACTTCAGTCATTGACGCTTGGGCTGACGGACATCGATACCTTCCGAACGGTCCGGTCGAAGCACGAGGCGCTATCGCTTCCACTAAGCGACCAGCAGAGTTGTTGGACGCGGAAGGCAAATACTACGAGCGCTCGAAGCCTCAGTATGGCGAGGTTCCTTTATCACAATTTCTTAGCGCTCGTAGCCTTGGCGTTACTGGAGATGGCCGAACCGACGACACTGATGCCCTCAACGCTGCAATCCTGAAAGCCAAGGCTGAAGGCAAGATTCTTTTCCTTGACGCCGGTTTCTATCTAGTCACCTCGACGATCTACGTCCCACCAGGTTCCACTATCGTCGGAGAAGCCCTCGCTTCTGTCATCCTTTCCTCCGGTCCCTTCTTCAACGACATGTCCCTTCCTAAGCCAGTCGTGCAAATCGCTCAGCCAGGAGAACAAGGTCGAGTCGAACTTTCTGACCTCTTTGTCAGCACAAAAGGTCAACAAGCCGGCGCTGTTCTGATTGAATACAACCTTTATTCCCCTACTGGCGAACCTGCTGGCCTTTGGGATGTGCACACTCGTATCGGAGGATTCGCAGGATCAGACCTGCAAACCGAGCAGTGCGAAAAGACACCCGATCTCGTCACCACTTCCGAGAATTTGGTCGAAGAATGCATTGCAGCTTACATGTCGATGCACGTCACCAAGTACAGTTCAGGGCTGTATATGGAGAACAACTGGCTCTGGACTGCTGACCACGATCTCGATGATGCGCGTAACAACAACACCCAGATCACTATCTATGCTGGCCGCGGTCTGCTGATTGAGAGTCTTCAGGGAACTTTATGGTTGTAAGTTTGGAAATCGTCATTGTTTCGTTAGCAGTAATTAACGCTCAGGTAGATACGGCACAGCAGTCGAGCACCACGTTCTCTATGAGTACCAGTTCGTCGACACACGAAACGTATTCATGGGTCAGATTCAAACCGAAACTGCCTACTATCAGCCCAACCCTGATGCTCTCATTCCCTTCCCAACCGTTCCAGCCTTGTCCGACCCAGTCTTCACGGCTACACCTTCGAATGGAACAAACTCAACATCGCCAAACACAGCTTCAGGCTGGGGTCTGCGTATTCTCCGCAGCAACAACATCCTCGGATACGGGGTGGGACTATACTCTTTCTTCGACAACTACTCGACAGAGTGCTCGCAGGTTGGCGCAGGTGCGGTGTGCCAGTCGCGCATCCTGTCGATCGAAGGGGATCGCAACACGTATGACATCAGTCTCTACAATGTAAATACTGTGGGTAGCACAGAAATGATCACGCGCGACGGGGTAGACTTGGCGAGCAATGTGGACAACAACAGCACTTTCGTGGACACCATTAACGTATTCAAGATTGATAGTTTTGGACTCAAGTTGTCCGTGGACGTTGGGGTATCGTTAGGCGACGTCTTGAGCAAGTAGATCTTGGTTTCACTAATTGAACATGTGGAGCTGGATGCGTAGTACTAGTAGCGGGGCCTTGGCCATTTGGTGTTCTGATTCTTTCATACCCATATTTTCATAGAAAATTTTCGAGGGCGAAATTGTATTTCCTTTTCAACATGCCGGTCTTTGTCCACTTCTTGCTATAATAACGTCTTTTGGTCCATTCTTTCCATCAAAATCCGATATGGTCTAGTGGCTAGGATTTGCCGCTCTCATCTGCAGAGTCAGTTCACTGTACAGTGCCGGCAAGGCCCGGGTTCGATTCCCGGTGTCGGAAAATGATCTTTTTGCCTTTTTTTCAGACTGAAAAAGAAAGATAGGCCCCCTTTGGCCGCTGGTCAGGTCTTTCTAAGCCGTTGACGACCTAGATCTGGACGTCAAGTAGCGAGATACACTCTCGTACCAGGCTGGTATAGAGGCCAGCGATTTTTTTTTGATCTAATGGGATGCAGTGGTTGATTGGGAGGTATGCATCTCTTCCCTGCCTCGGATGTTGGATCTTTGACTCAATACGAAGCTGGGCCTTGGAGATGCTCACTACATCTTGTATCAGCATGTTGTACAGATATTCTGTAATATATACTCTTCACTACCTTGTATAGCCCCCTCAGCATGGGTTTCGTACTATGAATACAGCTTGATGTCCAAATAATCGCGAGGTTACCTTCACTGTCCCAGATCCCGCCTTTCGTGACAGATATGCAAAAGATGAATTCTTGACACTGAAAATGTCAGCGTGCGCGATGCGGAGATTCCAACTTGGAGAACTGAATGTCTCATGTTCTAGGTTAATATTGAGTGGCAAGACTCGACACATGATATGCAAGGAAAGTCTCCTTGCGCTGCAAGAAGATCACTCTTGTACGCAACTCGTTTGCTGCATCCAGTATCTCGAGAAACAGAGGAGCTTGTGCAATCGTGAGATACCTAGTTACCCTACAGTCATGACGGACATCTACACCATACACTTAACTACAGATCGCGAATCGACAATTAGGAGCTTCCGGAACCGTCCAGCAACGACATGGCCATCGTTTGGTTCATAGAATACCCTGCTATCAGCTCGTGTTTGCGAGCCGTGACAGGGTACCCGAGCCCATGTCAAGCTTTAGCGTCAGTGAAGAGGCACACATGGTCGAAGTGCCGAAGTTGGGGAACGTTCTTTCTTGTAAGGTGACCGAGCTTCCAAGAGCACCCTATGGAAACCATAGATCTTGTGAATAAACTTGGTTCTGTCTGAGTTATGCTTCACAAAAGGCACCTACAAGGTTTTTACTGCAAACTGTGTTAAGACACTTGCATGACGAAAAGCAGTACATATCAGAAAAGAACTGCATTGGTATAGTGTACAAGAAGCTGGCGGAATCCACACACCGACTCTAAGTTGCAAGTAACGCCCGCTATGCAATTTTAACATGCTGAACCCTCAAGAGTTTGTAATATTACCAAAGCGATGTCGAGAGCAAGCATCATCGGAAGTAATACTAGAAAGAAAACGCACCCCAAAACAAAGTGCGCTGTGAGATCCAGCTCAACGCCTGCCACCACTGCGACCTCCCCTGATCTGCTTCATGATATCCACATTGCTCGAACGGCTCCGTGCGTTCTCGTTGAACACAACGTTGCTCTTGGGCGCGATGGTATACGTAGTGGGACCAGACTCCATGCGGGCGCGCTGGAAGGCCTTGGGAGCTTCGAGCTGCTTCTTGCGGTTGGCTGCAATGGCCGCAGCTTGGCTGCTGGCAGCGGACCTGTCGCCAGTTTTCATTTGACTAGAAATTATCAGCATGCGTACTCAAGTATGCAAAAGTAAATCATACCTTGGATCGTAATCGGCCTGGGCAAACTCCTTCTTACGGTAGTCGTCTGTCCGCCTAAGGATAGGACGCGTCCAGTCTGTAAAGAGGCGCTCGGCTTGTCGCTTGATGGTCAACTCGGGCTTCTTGCTCTTGATGTAGAACATGATGACTTTGCCAATGCCAGATGCAACAAGTGTGTCCTTGTTGACAGGCAACTTCGCCAACGAAGCCATGAGATCCTTCTGGATGTCGTACGCAGGAAGACTACCATCGCTGAGGGGCTCCAGGAAGAAGCGCACCGACTCGAGCAGGTTCACCTCAGGGTCCACGATAGTATCCCTCAATGTGTTCTTGTTCAGCAGGGCTGTCACTTCAGGCAGAAGTTTGAGCTTGTGTCGCGCGGGCTCGTTGCGCTTTCGGCCTTCGTTGTCGGCTTCGGCAGCTGCTGCCATACGGCGGCGCATCTCCTCAATCTCCTGGTCGGCCATTTGTTCGAGGTCAATGCCATCCTTCTTGCGGCGGCGATTTGAGCTGGTGCTGACAATGCTGTCTATCTGGGCATTGAGCTGCTTCTTTCGTCCTACAATCACGGTCAGTTTGGCAACCTGAGTCTGGGTATCAAATTACGCACGCTCTTCTGGAGTGAGATGCTCGTCTGGATCGCCATCTGGGCTTGCGCCGCGGACTCTGCCTGCCTTCTTGGACCGCTTGCTACGCCTGTCGCCTTCAGGAATATCGCCATCATCGTCGCCGTCCTTGTTCTTCTTCCGGCGTGGCTTCTCGGCTCTCTTTTTCTTCTTCTTTGGCTCTTCGCCCTCTCCCGCGGTGCGCTTCCGCTTGTGTACACCAATCTGCTTGACGTTGTCTTCGTCAATAGCCTGCGCCGGACGCTCATCGATAGCGACGTTGTTGATATCGAAGTCACCAAACTGCTCGTCCATTTGATCGTCATCCAGCGCCTCGGAAAGGACCGACTCATTGTCTGACAAGCCGGCCTCGATGTCGTCCTGGTCAGGCATCTCGCCAGGCCGGTCCTCTGTCACCTCCATATCTTGGTCTGGATCACCGATGGGTGGGTTTGGAGTAGCATTCTCCTCGTCAATCTCGGGGCGCAGAGGATCGGCTGGGTCGTCGCCAGCCTGTGGAAGCGGCGACTTGGAATGCGACCGGGTGAACTCGACGTCCTCCATAGTGACAATTCCGGCCTGTTCCGTTGGGATCAGGGTATCGATGGATAGGCGCTGAGGATGTGGAGTCGCTCGACGGTGGCCGATCGCAGTAAAGGTGGACGAGGGCAGAGGGCGATCGCGAGATAGTGAAAGCAAAGTTCCAGGGAGCGCGACTGCCATGACGCGCGGTGATACGATTTGCCGTGGCCGGGCTTGGCAGTCGCAACCGCGCCCCGGCTTGTTCGCGACCTGCTGTCAAAGACCGCAGCCGCTCCACCTTTGTTCGACCACTCACCCGCCTGACCACCATCCTCAGGCCCCCACCACCACGACACTTTGACGAGTCTCTGCGACGAGTTTTGCTACAGAGGCTGACTGCCGCTGCCTTTCTGCTTTTCAACTGACGAGCTCCAACACAGACGGCACCTTGCATAGGCTCCGGCACTGTCGCGGCGCCTGCGAGTGACTCCAGGTCTCTATTGCGACACGTCTGCAACCGCGCGTTGCCGCCTCACTGTTGGCTTGAAGGAGGAAGGGCATACAGACAGAAGGAGGATTGCAGTAGCTGGAGGAGAGCGAGTTTGTTACTGCCTAGCTGTACCGGCGCAGTCTTCACACTGCGTCATTTGGCGCGGCCATAGCTAGTATCCAACACAAGCACTGTCATTACGTGTGTTCGTCGAGAAGCGAGGAAGCATATCGTCTATTGTTCATCTGGCATCGACATCGTCAGCATTGCGACTTCCCGACCGCAAAGCCAGCCGCTCACTCTGCCCCTTGCGCGCAAGTTTCCCTTCTTCTTCTAACAAAGCACATATCCATTCTTGTCTAACCCCAGTTCTTGCCCATCATGTCTCTGCCAGCTGCTGAAGTGGCTGCCGACTTTCGGGATGCCTTGCAAGATTTGAGGATGAACAGCAGACCTGAGATTAGCAATCTAACCCTCATCGCCAAGGAAAACACAGAATACGCGGAAGCTATATCCAATGAGCTTCAGAAGCATATCCAATCGGTAAGTCCTGGATACTGGCAGACTAACAATTGCATCAGTCCACAAGCACTCACTTTATCCGCCCATGACTGACATGTGTAGACACGCCCTGAATGGAAACTCCCAGCCCTCTATGTTCTTGATTCGATTGTCAAGAATGTCGGCACCCCATACACTGTCTACATCGGCCGCAACCTTTATAGAACCTTCATGGACGCCTATCTCGTCATGGACCAGAACACTCGCAAGAACATGGAAGGCCTTTTGAAGACGTGGAAGATGCCTGTGCCCGAGTCCATGGACCCACGTCCTGTATTCCAGGCCGACGTGACGCAGGATATTGAGAATGCACTGGCTAAGTTCCGCGCAGCTCAGCAGCAGATTCGACCACAGCACGCGCTTCCACCTCGTCCTCCGTCGCTCAACGTCGCTTGGAGAGGTACGTCAACGCCGCCTCAAACTGGCCCGCGTTATGCTGCTCCTAACGACCCACGTGCTCGACCAGTAAGTCTATATTATTATTGTCTGCAAACAACTGCTAACATTTAGTCCAGACACAACCTCCGACTCCTCAGTATGGGCCACCATCTCACACAGCCACACCACCTACATACCAACAGCCTCAGCAACACGCTCAGCCCATGTCATCGGTTGACCTTGCTGACTTGAAGGTGGAAGTAACTCAGCTCATCAGTGCAACACAGAACATGTTCGCACACAACCCAGCTGATGCTGCTCTACGCACAAAGTTGTCCGCACTGTTGTCCTTGAAGCAAATCCTAGATACACAGACATTACCTCCTCAGCAATTAGAGGCTGTACGCCAACAAGTTCGAGCATTGGCACCTCCACCAGCGCCAACACCGACATTTGCTCCTTCTACGCCAGTATATCCGCCACAACAAGCAATGCCTCCAGGTTATCCGCCCAACTTTTCTCCGATGGGTGCACCTCCGAGCAGTGCTCCACCAAACGTCGCGCAACTTCTTGCAGGCTTCCGACCACCGCAGCAATCAACCCCGCAACCTGCCTCAACTCCTAATCCACCCGCTTTGAATTTGGCGGAACTACTCAAACGCGTATCTTCCCCAGCACAATCGAACTCAGTACCCGCCCCAGCTCCGTTTCAAATGCCCTTCCAAGGCTTCCCGCCACCAGTCTCGACTCCAGTGCCAGCACCTCAGGCTCCCCCACCGACCCAATCCGCGACGCCCACTGCCAACCTTGCGGCATTGCTTGCACAATTCAGCAAACCTGGTGCGGCACCACCCTCAATGCCACCCACGCCCGTACAAAGTACCCCCCTTCCTCAATTACCACCTCAACCCCCAGCTGCTCCCCCTGCTCTAGGGTCAGCCGAATGGCTCCTAAAAGCTTTAAGTGGTGTGCCTGGTGGCATGCCTGCGAACTCAACTCCAGTTGCGTCTCAGCCGACCACGCAACAGGCACCAGCGCCTATTAGTTTGACGGACCAGATCGAGCTTACCACTGCGTCGATGAAGAAACCTCGTCTACATCTCATATCACGCCTCTACGAAGCCAAGCCCAACATCTGCGCCACATGTGGCCGTCGCTTTGAGAGCACACCCGAAGGCAAAGAGAAAAAGGCACGTCACATGGACTGGCACTTCAAGGTCAAGGATCCTGATGCTGGTAAGCGAGGTGTACACCGCAGTTGGTATATTCCTGAGAAGGAATGGATCGAGTACCGTGAAGTCGATGAGACTTCTCCGAACCACTCCAACGATGCTTCTTCCGGTAATGGTGCCGCTAAACCAAAGAAGCAGGCCAAAGATCGGTATGTGAGCGTACCACAAGACGTCACACTACAGCAGGCGCCATGCCCCATTTGTCAGGACAAGTTCGAGACGCAGTGGAACGTAGAGGCCAATGACTTTGTATGGATGGATGCTGTGAGTGTAGGTGGTAAAATATACCATGCTACTTGTTTTGAGGAGGTATATGGCAAGGGTGTTGGTATAGAGACACCAGGCACACCGGATTCAGTTCTCGGAAAGAGAAAGGCTGACATTGGCGCCAATGGCGACGGAAAGAAGGTTAGGGCCTATTGAAACAGGCTTCAACTTTCATACGATGGCTTTTCCTCTTCTTTTCCAAGAAACGCGGTGATCGTGAGCTTTTGCATGCATAGCGTGGCGTTATAGGGCTCATCACACCCTTCTTGTATATTTTGGCACCGCTATATAATGATGAGGGCCTGCATATAAGCCGTATCAATGATGGTTATTAGCGAATCCACTTTCAGGCCACCAGTTGTATTAATGTAAATATGTTTGAAGAAAAAGATCATCGTCTTCGCATGTGTGTTCATGAACAGTGAGGTCATTGGGAATCAGTGTTTTCCTTTGTATACACATAGACACCACTTTCCTTGTGGCACATGTATGTACAAGTCCGCAATGGAGCTCTCTACACCCACTCCTTTGGCTTTTTGAGCACCTCAAGCAACCGCTCTTCCCTGCTACCCTTTGCAGGCTCGTGCATGTACTGCCACCTCGCTGTGAGCGGTAGACTCATCAGGATACTCTCCACTCGGGCACCAGGCGTGTTCAAACCAAACGCTGTCCCACGGTCGTGCACAAGGTTGAACTCTACATATCGTCCTCTGCGGATCTGCTGCCACTGCTTCATCTCATCTGTGTATGGCATGTCCTTCCGTCTGTTGATGATGGGCAAATAGGAAGGCAGGAAGGCAGACAAACAATCTTGAACGAAGGAGAAGAGCTGTTCCTGGTCCTTCTCCGTCTCATCCAAGTCGTCGAAGAAGATGCCACCTACACCTCGTGTCTCACCTCGGTGCTTGTTGCTGAAGTACTCATCGCACCACTTTTTGAATCGTGGGTAGTATGCCTTATCGTGCTTATCGCAAGCTTGTTTGATAGCGCCGTGGAAGTGTATAGCGTCTTCGTCGTAGAGGTAGGAGGGTGTGAGGTCGCAGCCACCGCCGTACCACCATGCATTTGTGTTTCCGGTCTCGTCGGCAGTCTCGAAGTATCGGTAGTTGAGGTGTACGGTCGGTGCATTGGGGTTGTGAGGGTGAAGGACCATGGACAGGCCAGCGGCGAAGAACTCGAGCGAATCGACATTGGGGTCAAGGGCTTTGTGGTTGACGCGCATCTTCTGTATGGCCGCTTTTGGTAGGCGGCCGTATACGACGGATGTGTTAACGCCTCCCTTCTCGAAGACGTTGCCGTCCTGTAGGATGCAGGTAATTCCACCACCACCTTCTGGCCGTTGCCATGTGTCGATCTTGAACTTGGTACCATCTACCTTTTCCAGTTCAGCTACAATTTCCTTCTGGTGTTGCTTTATGAACTGTTCCATTCGCAGGCGCATCGGTGACTGCTCGGAGACGCCATTCTCGCGCTTGAGGAGGGCATCCTTCTCGGCGATAGAAGGTGCTTCGGTTTTGATTGTGTCGTCCGTCCACTGTGACATGGTCAATAAAGTTTGCAACACAAGGATATCACTGGTCTTGATGTACCATGGAATAGATCAGAGCCGCAATGAAGGGTACAAATAGCAACCGTATCCTGTTCGGCCATTTGCTCGGTGGAGGATTACGCCATTCTTCCAGAGGGTCCGGTTTCTCCGGCTTCTTGCCTGAGGGTAAGTCTAGCCGGCGACGTGGAGTACAGTGAAATTGCCTGTTGCGGATGTGATATGGGCGCAGAGTTCGTTGCGGCGCATAGTTGTGGGGAAGCTCGAGAGCTCTTGAGATGCGGAACGAGGATCGGAATGGACGCATGGCGGACAGGTGGGGTATGTAGGAGGGATTCACCATGCAGGAATCATGGGAGGAGTGTTGGAGTTGTGAATTGGTTTATATTGGGTGTGTGAGAGAGGCTAGATATTGCGGAAAGTTGTCGTGCATCACACCACGGTGGGCGCATCATCAGTGGAGCTCCTCGGTACTAGCGGTATCGGTACCTGCATCATACAAATACGGCAAACTTGCCCACTGTCAACCATAGCAGTGAGGAAATACCTGAGGTTCTCGCAGATACTTCCAAACATACTATTGACGCCTTACATCAAGTTGGGACACGGAAGGCGATCATTTGTAAGCGCGCAGTGTACGGTAGCGATAGTTCGCTGGCGGATACCGCCCGAGCAAATCAGTGACTGCTACTACTACTATGTCTTGAACAGAGTTGTACAGTCTATGAGGTATATCCATTCGCGTTTTGATACGTTAGAGAGTATTCGAAGAGACAGCCACGCCGCCATGAGCAGCAAGGTGCTCCTGGACGCGCTATGATGCCAGCGAACGCGCCGTCGAACGCGTTGTAGCGTAACATCGAACGAGGGAGAAGTGCAGCCTGCTTTAAGCCCGGGGTACTGTCACGGCACGTATCTAGAGTGGCGGTGCTTGGAGTCGCAAGATGAGTCAACAGTGGCATACATTCGGGTATTGCTAGGTCATGGGAGCTGAACAAGTGACAACACGGTAGGCGCGAAGCGGTCAGCACAGCCATAGAAGAGTCAGCTCGCCCTTGGTGGGCGAGAAGGGCTGTACTGGAATGACGGAAGAGGGTTGATTGCACTGTCTCAAGGCAAAGTCGCACCTGGCGGGCGCGTGAAGCGTTGGATGTCAGTTGCATGGTTCAGTGACTTTGGGCGTTGGTCAAGTACCAAGGTTATGTAAGGCAGTGCTGCAAGTGATTCGCCCCGCTCTGCTGCCTGCCCTTAAACTCCCACACCGCCCGCACCCTCACCGTCCTACATTACCATCCACACACCCGACAACACTTTCGCCTGCCCACTTGTACACACTCACATACAAATACACAGCACCCTTATCATCACCCAAGATGCGTTCCAAGTTTAAGGACGAGCACCCGTTCGAGAAGCGCAAGGCCGAGGCGGAGCGCATTCGCCAGAAGTACAACGATCGCATTCCCGTACGTTTGCCTCTGGCCTCTTCATCTGCTCTGCCACGCGCAACAGCTAACAACGCGTAGGTAATCTGCGAGAAGGTCGAGAAGTCGGACATCGCGACCATCGACAAGAAGAAGTACCTGGTCCCTGCCGACTTGACCGTCGGCCAGTTCGTCTACGTGATTCGCAAGAGGATTAAGCTGTCGCCTGAGAAAGCCATCTTCATCTTCGTCGACGAGGTCCTGCCGCCTACTGCCGCTCTTATGAGCTCGATATATGAGGAGCACAAGGATGAGGATGGTTTCCTGTACATCACGTACGTAGCATCCACAGCGCAATGCGAAGCAGCTGCTGACAAACTTCTAGGTACTCGGGAGAGAACACATTCGGCGAGGCCATCTAGAGAGCTCGCTCCATCCCGCATCCCCTTATCTATCGGCCATCAAGGCCGCGGCGAACTCACGGGCGTTATCGGATCACGGGTTTCTTTATCATTTCATGGCAACACTACATGGGCTGGGTGATTGATGGGTATTCTTGATGGGCGATTCGGTGCCACGGCAGACTCCCTATTACTCAGCGCAAGGCAAACACTATCTGAGAATGAGGCGGATCAAGCACAAGGCAGCTAGATCGGGCATTCGCTCGAGACCAAGCTCTACGAATATCAAGGGTGGCGGTCGGATAGATTGTCTTCTTCCCTTGCGCTGTACCTGTAGTTTGATCATCATATTTCAGCCCAAATGCACCGGATGTAATCCAAGACCATTATCTTCACATGACCCAATCTGTGACGTCTCGTATGTAGCGCGTGAAGCGCTATCAGTGCCTGATGGAGCAGCGTGACTTGCGGCTCCTCCGGCCTGAAACCCATGACGCCATCACCCGCCTCACAAGACATCGGGTCAGCCTCAGAGCACGGTGACTGCTTTCAAGGCTTGCTACATGGAAAACATGCATGGCAACGTAGAGTGCACTAGTAGCTTCTGCAACACTCTGCCATGTTTACATTAAGCGCTCCTAGAAGCGTGCTTGCTGGAGTAGTGCATATGGGGCAGCCGCGTGGGGAAGCTCCAAGCCGGCGGTAGGCACGGACCACAGCAAATGCAGGTGCAGTGGATCGTCGACGGATGTGATCTGGGAGAAGTTTATCGAGACTTCAACACGGAATCCTGCCCTTTCAGGAACTGCCACCTACGTCGGGTTCTCACATTTGCTCCATCTCTGCAGCGAACGAACAACATCCACACCACCACAAGCAGTCGACCGCATTGTTCCAAAAGAGTATCCAAGAACCCCACAATCATGGCGATCCAGTACATAATATCAAAGTGAGTCGATCACTCTCATCCAACCTGCTCCATGAGCTGACAGTCTGTGTAGACGCCTCGATCCTCTTTTCGCCATATCGATCGGTCTCGCTGCGGCCTTTACACGGATAAATCGCGAAGAGAAAGAGAAGGGCAGGTCGACACAGGAGAGTATAGATGTTTTGAAGAGAAGGTGGAGTCTTGCATGGCAGCAGGGCAATGAGGTAGAAAATAAGGCTTGAGGTCCATGACATGAGAGTCGACGGCAAGAGGAAGGGTTGTAAGACCAAACAGACATGGCAAGCAAAATGTACGGAATCGCACGCAAAGCACAGCGGCACCGAGAGCGAGCGATATGATACCCGGTCACGAAAAGACCATAAAGAGGGACGTGTGTTACATTCAAGAATACCAGAATTCAAAACATCATCAAAAGTTCTACTCCTCGCTTTCTACCACGCGTACTCGGCATCTTCATCTACTGCTTAACCACATGCATAGTCCGAACAAGCTCTAGGACATTCCACCAACCCCTGATTCATTGATTCTTCCCAACTGTAGAACAAGGCCGAACGGTATTTACCACGAAGACATAGTCCGTGTCTCAACAACGCTGGTTGGTCCGGATGTATGCTAAGGAAAAGCACGCCTATCTTGCCGACAATCGGCCCCTTAAAAACTCAAACCAACGCATCTGAGCAGGAACATGTAAGATATCTGCATCGCACTGTGGTATCCCGATTCCCCGAGTGGATGGGTGGGTCTTGATTGGCCTGATAGTCTTGCCTAACAAGCTCTGACGAATAGGAAGTCATGGCGGAGTAGTGCGCGGGAGTGGCAATGTCTGAAAACTTCCGGAGAGTACCACGGTAATGGCATGTCTACTACATATAATGACTGGCTGAGTATGATGCTACGAGTCATGGTAACGTTAAGGATCGTGAGCACCTGACCTCGGGACGTTACACCGCGTCACCGGCTAGATAAGGATCACCGTTTCTTAGGCTTCACCGACACTTGGATACGACAAGACGTCAGAAGGCTCAGACATCCACCGGTTAAGACATCCTTCCAAGTGCTTGTGTCAGAGCCGAAACCCGTTCATATGT